CCCCTCTCCCTCACAGCGAAGCCCCGTGCGCACCTGCCCCGGGGCCAACCCCCCACCCCCACGCGCACAAGCATAAACAACCGGCTTTACTCCTCCCCACCCCCTCCAGCCCATTTCACTCCTCACTCTGAGACTGCAGGGGCATCTTCGAGGTACTTGCTGCTGTGAGGGAAGGAGGGGGAAGGGGATGCAGAATCTCCCCCCTCCCCCACTAAGGAAGGCAAGCTTTATTGTACAGCTAATGGGGAGCTAATGGCAGAGTCAAGACACGCTGAAACAACCGGCTTTACTCCTCCCCACCCCCTCCAGCCCATTTCACTCCTCACTCTGAGACTGCAGGGGCATCTTCGAGGTACTTGCTGCTGTGAGGGAAGGAGGGGGAAGGGGATGCAGAATCTCCCCCCTCCCCCACTAAGGAAGGCAAGCTTTATTGTACAGCTAATGGGGAGCTAATGGCAGAGTCAAGACACGCTGAATGGATGCTTCTCCTGGCCAGCCTGCCTGGCCTCACTCCTGCTGCCATTCTGTGGGCACCACTGCAAATAAGGTAGCTTAGGAGTCACGTGCCTCTGTCCCTATATACCTTGCAAATTCACTGCCCACTATCCACGCCACAAATCTGAACAAACTCCTCCAGTGTCTGGACAGCGTGCTTCCTCACCAGGGCATCGCGGTCTCTAAAGCAGCAATCATTCGGTCATGAGGCTCACATTGGCTGTTATGAAAACATCAGTGATTCCCCCTCCGTCTATGGACGCGTTTCTACAGCATGTTCGTTTTCGCTCGTGGCGTGAAAAATACGTATCAGAAGGAAAGGAAAAGGAAAAGGTCCCGCTACAGGCTGGTCATTTTAAAAAAAAACCCACAAGATCACATGCTCTTTCCAAGAGCACTGCCTGCGAAAGAGGAGAAGCCAGCCTCTGGAAAGGAGAAAAGCTGTAACTTCCTAAAAGAAGTGGCTTCCCATGTCCTATTGCACAATCTCTCTCCCCACACCCCCGTTTCCCAACTTGTTAGCTGAACTGATACGCGATCCTGCTGATGCCTCCTGGGCCGTCACTCCGCTGTAGAAGCCAAACGGCATTTTCAATGTCACCATAAATCTTATCCTATAGAAATGGTTGATCAGCAGGATTCCCCCAGATTTTTGGCGAACACGTCTTTCCCCAAGTATTAAGATACTCCCGTATCCCTCAACACCGAAAACAATCAACTTGCCATATGTCTGCACATGTCCTCTGCTAGCACGTTAGCAATTTGTTACAATCGCTTCTCTATTTGGGACGCTGTAGCGTAGGGCTGTGTGAGTTTGCAGGATCATCCCCTTAAGCGCAGGATTTCGGAGTCACCGAGGACAAATTTCTTCTGGGCGGCGATTCCGGTTACAAGTTCTCTCATCTGCATGATTTCATTTTTACATTTAAGAATCGGGGGGAGGAGTCGGGTTATTTTAGGTGGGCTGAATTGTAGCGGGACAGAGTGGCCGCCCACTGACCTGGAGGGAGAAGAGCCCCTCTGGGAGCAGAGACTGGCTCCACCTTCTCACCTGACCGGAAGGCAAGAGGCATGGCCAGTACTATAAAAAGCCAGCCCTGGAGGTCAGGGAGACCCCAGCCATCAGAGGAATAAGATGCCAGCCCGGTGCTACCAGGCTGGGAGGCTGAGGACTGGCCCTGTGCTTGCCTGAGGCCTGGACCAGAATACCTGTTGGAGCGGTCAAGCCCCAACACCCCGGTGGACCTGCCAGAGACCCAGGGATACATGGAGGAGGGAAACTGAAGTAGCCCAGGGAATGCTGACCATGGTTTAGCTGAACCGGAGCTGGGATCAGCATGTTGCAGGTAGGCTCCCCGTTGACCCAGCAGCAGACCGCTCTGCTGCTGTGAGGGCCCTGGGCTGGGATGCAACCGAGTGGGTGGGCCTGCGTCCCCCCCTGCCACCCAATCCCTGAGCAGCAGTCTCCCCTCTCCGGCCATTCAGGAGGACTGTCTGGATTAGCTGGATCTTGTTTGCCCCGAACAAGGAGACTCAGCTATTTGGTTATCGTGAACTATATAGACTAGCTACTGTTGGTTTGTATTTCTGACTGTTCGCCGCCCCCTCTCTGCACCAGGGCTTGGGCCTTCTTGTTTACTGACTGTCCTGCCTTGAACCGGAGCCTGGCCCAGGGCTATTGACTGTTTGTATTCTGCCCCGCCCGGAACCGAGACCTGGGCTTCTCACTACCTGAGCTGGCTTATTACCCATCATACTGAGCTGATCACAGGCCTGACACCCAGAACACAGGGACTCTGAACTGAGGCAGAGCGGCTGCCCACTGACCCGGAAGGAGAACCACCCTTCCGTGAGCTCCAACCGGCCTCAGGAACAAATCATTTTGAGAAGAAGCACCCCACTTCCACGTGGTGTTGCCAAACCATGCCTGATTTTACAGCTGCTGAGCCCCCTCATACTTGTCAAGGCCATTATTACAGGAGGATGGATAAACATGTCTGTTTATATTGATGTAGCTTCGTAACTTTAAATATCTGATTTCAGAAATGGAAAACCCATGTAAAGAGATGATCCAAGGCTGTGTTTCTCAAGCAGAGGTATGAGCACCCTTAGGGGTACTTGAGAGAAGTCTGGGGGGTATGACAACTGAAATTTGGAGAAAACTGATTTTTTTTAAAGTTTTACAGCGCTTTATTATTTTTGTACTTTTTACACCCAAAATGTTCATCACCCGCCCAGCTACAATTAAGTTGTTCAAACAAATGTAGTGAAATGGTAGAAAAAAAAGGTATCTCTGAAAATTGTAGGTACTGGGGGTACTTATATTTTTTTTTAAAAAAAGGGGGTACTTTATAAAAAAAAAGTTGAGAAACACTGATCCAAGGAACCAGCAGAAATTGGTTGCCTGTCCATGATGACTTTTTTTTTCTTGGTTAAGAAAAGACTGAAAGCAATCACATTAGGATTCGTGGCTGTATTTTAGCCCTCCAGCGAGCCACTGGCCTGGTGGAGGGATGGAAGGGGGAGACTTTGGTTGTAACAGGGCTTGATCCTGGAAGTCATTGAGCAGTGCCAACCAGACAGCTTGAGGCTATGGATCTCTGGGACCAGGAGAGGTTGACCTCTCGGTCCGGCGCCGGTACTGCGAAATTAGCGACTGAGCTGTAAGTCACAAGCCACTTAGGCACCTGCTGTCTTTTCTCTCAAAAAGGCAGGGTTAAAAAGCAGCAGATGTGAGCAGAGGATGCCTGAGGAACAACAAAGTTCTTGCGCACTCACTCGCTCGCATACCAGTGAGGGGCTTAGTGGCACGCTCCCCTCTTTGGCCGCGCCCATAGGTAATCACACAGCCATGGGTCCATTAATCTAGGGCCAGGCTCCCCTGTATTCCTGGGCCAGCTGATCACACTTTATCTTCTGCTTATTATCGGGATCCTAAGCCCACTGGCATCAACAGGAATATTGCCACAGACTTACACAGACTTTGGGTCAGACACTCTGGGTTTCCATCTTGTTTAGACAGAGCATCCTTTTCGTCACACTGGTGCATCCAGGGGCCTCATGTAACTGAGACTTGGGCCCTTACAATCACTTTCACATGCTGCAAAGGTGTAAAGGGCCTTGGGGAGGGAAAATTTGGTTCCAGAACCCTTTTGCCAGAGGTACCCATACTGGGGAGGGACCCCCGGTGGAAGTGACAAGGTTACTAAGGGAAGGTGGAAGGGTGGGGGGGACAGAGCAAAACCAGGCCACTTGAGAATCAGCCACATCCTGCAGACCTCTCCAGGTGACAGCGTTGCAAGGCCTCTGTCAACACCTGGGCGGCCATTTTGTCCTGGCTTGAAGAGGAGACATTTTGCTCAAGTTCAGGTCAGGCAGGCGGCTGCAGGGCTGCCAGATTTGGCAGCAAAGGTGGGGGAGGGGGAATCACCGCAGCCCTGCTCCTTGGAAAGCACCAGAGAAGGCAGAGCCATGGAGCAGCCGCAAAAACGGTCTCACTGGGCAGGATAGGGATGAGGCAGGGCCCAGTGGGCACCTGGTCAGAGGTGTACGAGGAAGGGATAAGAGCAAACAGGGCCACTCATGCCTCTTACATAAGAACATAAGAACGGCCATACTGGATCAGACCAAAGGTCCTTCTAGCCCAGTGTCCTGTCTGCCCACAGTGGCCAGCACCAGGTGCCCCAGAGAGGGTGGACCGAAGACAATAATCAAGCAATTTGTCTCCTGCCATCTCTCTCCAGCCTCTGACAGACAGAGGCCAAGGACACCATTTTATCCCCTGCCTAGTAGCCTTTTATGGACCTAACCTCCATGAAATTACCTAGCTTCTCTTTAAACTCTATTATAGTCCTAGCCTCCTCTGGCAAGGAGTTCCACAGGTTGACTACACGCTGTGTGAAGAAGAACTTTCTTTTATTAGTTTTAAACCTGCTACCCATTAATTTCATTTGGGGTCCTCTAGTTCTTCTATTTAGGGAACTAATAAATAACTTTTCTTTATCGGCCCTCTCCACACCACTCATGATTTTATAGACCTCTATCCTATTCCCCCTCAGTCTCCTCTTTTCTAAACTGAAAAGTCCCAGTCTCTTTAACCTCTCCTCTTTAACCCGTTCCAAACCCCTAATCATAGCCCATAGCCACCCTGCACTCCCCCGGCCTCACAAACCCAACCCCTGCGTCTCTCATACATAGCACCTACCCCCCAGTCCTGCAGTCTCTGTCTCCTGCTGCCCCCACTGCTTCAGCTGGCTGGGCTATCCCCTTCCTGTAATGGTGGAGGTGGGGAGAGTCGCTGGCACGCACCAGAGCAAGGTTCTCATTCAAGGAGCCTCACGTTCCCTCCTCCGGGAGCCAGATTCTACTTCAGGCTGGCTGCAGCCTTCAGTCAGCTTTACTCCCTGCCAGCCCTTCTCCCTTCACTCCTCTCACCTGTCAGTTTGGAGAGATTCACAGAAGCCAGCTCATCTCCTGCTAGGGTCTGAGAGCGCTCCTCTGTCTAGGAGCCCTGTGCGGAACTGCACCCGGATGGGCATTTCCGAGGCCCAGGGGCACGTTAATCAGCTACCCAGCTAGCTGTGCTCATTCCCCTTAAAATTATCTCCTCACAGGTAGCCTGGGCCGGACTCCCCTTAATGGGGCCAGCAACCTCGCTCTGGACAGGTAAACTGAGGCAAAGAAGTCAAATGAGTTTTCCAACAGCACAGGACGACGAGCAACCGGAAGCAGGACTTTAAAATCAACAGCTCCAGGCGGTGCTCAGAAATCTAGACCACATATTTATCCCCCTCACTCACACACGACTGGTTTGATTGACTCTGTAAACGGTTATTGATTAAACGTCAGTTAGCCTCCACGTCAGACTGGGCTCACCAGGGAAAGGCATTGACTGTCCTGCCCTAAGGTAGTTTGTGTTTCTTCATTCGTTTCAGGGGGTAGTTATCCTGGGTGACTGCAAGTTCAAAATATACATTTCTAAAAAGATCTTTGGCTTTATTTATATTCAAAGTTTGAGAGCAGATTAGTGGCTTCTTTGTTTTCTTCCTTTCCCCTCCTTCCTGGGTGGGAGCAGTACAGTGCGTAGCACGAAGATTTCCCCCTCGGTGACTCCTCACGTGAGAGAGAATAGGGCGTCACTATTTTATACTTCCAAGAAAGGGCAGGCGAGTGGCCTTTCATACAGACTACTTTGCAGTCCTGCTTTCATGCAAGAGGCAGGTTAGCACTGCCTTGAAACAAAAGAGGATTTTTTTTTCTTTGCCATTGGAAAACTAGTCCCAAAGTGGCACGATTCAGCTGCATGGAGGAAAATGTGGATTTAGTTTCAAATTATAACACTCGTGAGGTGCCATCTTGACTCTGTTTAAGTCAATGGAAAAATTCCCAGTGGCATCAACAAGACCAGCCTTTCACTCTAAAGGAGTTGGAGATCCTTCAGTGTCCACCCCACCCCACCCCACTTTCCCTGGCATGGGCTGGATTGTCCTCTACACTGTATTCTTAGTGCCACTGCTAAGAGTAAGATTTTCACACCTTCATTGGAGAGGCTGTTTCATGGTTGAACCCAGCTCACTACGGAGCTTGGTGCTAAACCTTCAGCAGCAACAGACACCTCACCCCTCTAGGGAGAGTGTGACCTTCCAGGGCGGCATTTACCTCTCATGCTCCAGTACCAGCTAGCACACAGTAGGATACCTCTGACTTTCAACTAACATAAGCACAGGCCTGGACATCCTGGACAGACAAGACTCGGCAGTTTCTGGGGAAGGTGGTAATAACGAAAGCTACAGCTCCAATCAGATATTATGGTGGGGCATGTTCATATTGGATCACAAGATGAATTCAACCACGTCCATAACCGCTGGATAACCTTTGGGTTCAAAGTACTTACTGTATGAGCAGCCAAAGACCTCAACTCTCAGGCCTATTCGTCCACCGGGATTCCATTTCAGAGGGACAAAGCGCAGGAAGCGGGTTTTCACGGAGTGCAGAAGTTTGTGGTGGACCACGCTGTCAGCATTAGCGTTCCCTGTGAAGACCTGCAAGGAAAGGAAGTTCTGGTGAGACGTTGAACAGTCGCTCGGTTGTGAGCAAAGCGCACGAAAACAAAACTAAGGAAAGCAGGATTTCACAGACTAGCTTTGACAGAAATACGCACCCAAGCTTTGGAAACAGGACTGAAGCATCTCCACATGACCACACCCTGAAACACAGCCATCCTTATAGAAGAACACCTCACAGCAGCTCAACAAAAATCAATATACTACACACTTTTGACCCCAAATAAATCTGTTGACAAATTCCATTTCGTTATATATAGGAGGAGGGACTCATTTGGTTCTGTGTTTGGACAGCACCTTGCACCTTGATTCCTGGTTGCTACAGTAACAGAAATATTAATGTTTCTCAGAATTCACAAATACCAGGTGATCACGGCATTCTCCAGGGCTGTGGGAAATGAAGGGTCACATCCCTTCTTTGAATCAGGCAGATGTAGAATGAGCTAGCCCCAGACTATCGGCTCTTCTGCAGTGGGGTGTGTCTTTCAGCTCTGAAAAGGTTTCATTTTCATTCCACTTCCAAACCTATTTCAAAACCTCCAAAGATGTTCGCAAAACTCGCCAGCCCTGATCGTTATTTAACTGTTCTGAGAATGAACTACGTGAGAGAACTAGGTTTTGAGAATGAACCGTCACTTTAAATGCACTTCAAAGATCTCCGTGAGCTGTCTGGCTGGGTAAGGAGAATCAGCACCTTATTCAGTCCCGGTGTAAATGAACCCAGCTACAGTGATGGGAAAGGAGTTGAACCCACTGAATGTGTGGAGTTTGTTCCTTTGAGCACAGACTGAATTTGGCCCTCTGAGTGAGACAGGTGTCGAGAGGACTACAGATATCACTAAAACAACACCCGGGCTGCAGGATGGGCTGACTTAAATTGGAAAAGCACCATTAAAATCAACAGGATTATATCAGCTGAAGATCTTACACGCTGTCCCTTTGGCAAAATTGCCGTGACACTCAAAACAGAACGTCTGAACTGTGTATGTGGAAAGACAGAAGAAAGTTCAGTGAGAAGACGTGTCCGCTCCTCGAAGCGGCTGCCTTAAGAAGACAGGGGCTTGGGATTTTGTTGGCATCTCACTTGACATACATGCCGGGCAGCAAACAGCCTCTTGTTTACAGACCTACAGATGCAGGCTCCTGTAACGACTCCCATGATTATCTTCTCTCTCACTTTATTAGGCAGGTAATGGAGTGGACTTGAACTGTGTACAGGAGAAGTGTGGGCACAGTCCAGGCAAACTTGAGGTTAAGTATCTTCCAAAGCAGTTATTTTAGGATGTACAGCCTGGACCTCCCTGGTCCGGCACCATTGGGACCTCACCAGCCCAAATGAGACAATTTACCGGACCAGGGTAAATTCCCCTGCCAATGGACCCCCATGTCCACCAACTACTGCCGGCTCTGGATCCTCTGCCAAGCTCGGCCCCAGCCCCACACTCCCAGGGACTGTTTTAGGGCTCAGATCCCTGCTCTGCTGGGGGGCTCCAGCCCTACTCCTGGGCTTCCAGGGACTGTCGGAGGTCTGTGGCCCCAGCTGGGGACATCATGGGGACTCTCGTCCTGGCCCTTTTTGCTGAGGGTAGCCGGGGGGCTCCATCCCCTGTCCTGTGCTACCCACCCTGTTGCCCCAGACCTTGGATGGCCCTCCTGCCCTTTAGGCTCCCAGTTCCAAGAGTGTCTGTCATCTGGCAGGACCATGGATGTTGATTGATCAGAAAGTGCCGGGTCTTGGAGGTGCATCCTGTAGCTTCTTCCTGTCAAATTTGACCTGCCACTTACGCGCAAGCAAATGGGGGCAGGGAACAATGAACCAGAGGGAACCGCTTACAAATATCATGGAAGAGCTTCTCTAAGGGATGTAAATGAATGAAAAAGGAATGAAATCGAAGTCTTAAGTGTTAAAATGACACTCCCATAAAAAAACAAACTTGTTCTTGCTCTTAAACAGTCCTATTCGTGCAGGGAACCTCATCCATGAGCGCTCAGAAGTGACGACCATCAAACAGAACGGACCTGCAGCTGAATCTCTCATAGGGGACTTTTGAAACATGCTGGTGAACGTGGTTTTAAAGCAACGTGTGAACGGCCTGTTCATATACGACAAAGCTGGAGAACAAGAGTGAGAATGCTGGTTGGCTTTGTCAGAGTTTCTAGCCCAAAAGAGGTTCAGATTCTGGAATGCTTCTACCAGCCTTAGAGAGCTAACGAACTTCAGATGTGCTGATGTTTCAGTGCATTAGAAGTTACATAAATGGGGTTAAGTTCTGGGAGTTGAATAGGGTTGCCTGATCATAGAATCAGTGTTGGAAGAGACTGCAGGAGGTCATCGAGTCCAACTCTGTGATAAAGCAGGACCAATCCCAAATAAATCATCCCAGCCAGGGCTTTGTCAAGTCAGGACTTAAAAACTTCTAGGGATGGAGATTCCACCCCTCCCTAGGTAAACCATCCCATTGCTTCCCCACCCTCCTAGGGAAATCGTTTTCCCCCCCAATATCCAACCTAGACCTCCCCCACTGCAACTTGAGACCATCGCTCTCTTCTGGCCTCTGCCACCACTGAGACCAGCTTCTCTCCATCCTCTTTGGAACCTCCCTTCAGTTCATTGAAGGCTGACACCATATCCTGCCTCTCTCTTCTCTTCTGCAGACTATAAGCACCCAAATCCCTCAGATCTTAGCCATTCACCCTTAGAAACCCATCCCTGCACTAGGAATTTTTCCCTTCTACCCACATCCACCAATAACCACGTAACAGACGGAAAAGTTCCATGATGTGACAAGCACCATCCAGTGCTCCTAAGAGAGCAGTGACAGTAAGCAGCCCTCCCTTGGAATGTGATGCTGCGGTATTTCCACGGAACCGTGGCCCAAGCAGCAATGCCGTCTCGTGGCATGCTGGGGCTGAACAATGCCTGGCTAGCCTTTAGTCCCACAGGAAAGACGGCCACACTCAACACCATGAGGAGTGTCATGCCTCCCAAACCTTGCTCTTTTCCAACAAGGACACTGAAGACAGAGAAGGGAGGTGACCCCGTACGAGAGCCGGACAGTGAGGGGAAATGCACTGAAACCTGGGCCTGTTTTTAGCCCCTTTCATTTTGGGCAGTCAGTTTCTACTCGTTTCAGGCTCTGAGTAGAGGCAGCCTATCCCACGGCCCGGACACAGCAGCTTCCACCGTAGCGTATATACACCGGCGCGAGCTTTGAGGAGCAGGATTGGAAGGGCTGTGGTGGAGGACAGAGTGCAGGGGTCCATGGTGAGCAGGGGAGGGGCTCCCAGTGGGCGTAGAACAGACTCCTTGAGGGAAGGAACATGAGCGGGTAGGGAGGACACGGGTGGGCAGGACAAGAGGCTGACGGGCAGGCAGCACTAAGGGAGACAGAGGGACTGCCAGGCCTGAGGGCTTCAGTCTAGAACCTAGCTGCTCCCCTATGGCTGCAGTGCTCTTCTGGCCTGCACTCCATGGCAGCCTGCTGCAGCTGGGGCCTGCAAGTCCCTTGGGGCTGCTCTCGCTGGCGTTGAAGCGGGCGAGCAGAGAGTGACAAGGAGTTGGGAGGGGGAAGAGAGCAGGGGCCAGGCCTTGAGGAAAGCAGCAAGGCAGGGGCAGGGCTTTGGGGGAGATATGGAACAGGGGCCTCCAAAGAAGGGCAGGGCCTGTGGGGAAGAGGCAGGACAGCAGGGGGTCCGTTTTCAGATATTAGAAAGTTGGCCACCCTAGCTCCAACCCACACTTCCATCACGACTGGGCCAGCCACGAAGAAGGCACTTCTAAGAAAAAAAGTTCTACACTCTGCTATCGTGTCCAAACTACAGAATACCTAAATTCCCCTTTCTCCCTCAAATGGATACAACATTTTTATTCATCTCCTCAACTTTCATGTATTGTCACTACAATCTCCAACAGAAGTGCTGGTCATCCCACCCGGGGCTGCATTTCACGAGCGGGTGAAACAATTTCCATGGATAGGTTTTGCTCTCTGTTAAGCCTAGGGGGTGTGTGGGGATGACGGATGCAAGAAAATATTTTAATTGTTGAGAGAAACAATAATATTGGGAGGAACTGGCTGCAAAATGAAAGCAGTAAAACAAACAGACAAGTGGTGGCTACTAAGTCCTGTTGCTTCCTGGCATTCTCTTCATCTCCAGAAAACGACAATCAATGAGTATATATTAAACCCCATCACATCAAAAGAACTATTTCCCCTAGAACCTTGATTAGATTAACCTTCGCCAATAAACGGTAACAGCTCTTTTCATCGTCGGTGCTAACAGTAATCACACACTTCAAGGCGGTACTTTTGCATAAATCTCACAGACGCTTGCATGATTTGTATTGAATTAGTGGGATTAACAATGCGGTGAATGTGTTTATGTTTAGCGTGATTGGGCAATGCTTTGAACCCTCCTCCTATTTAGCTTAATCAAAGTGAGTTTAAATAGCTAACTCTTTACTGTAGGTCTATCTGATTGATGAGACTTTTTCAGCCTGATCCAGTAACAGGGCACCAGAGAGGTGTTAGATATTCCATGCAACGGTGATCTCAAATGAATATTTGACTTCATTATCTTGTATTATTTCCCTGTTTTATAGCCTAACATTTTTATCTGGTGCTGCAAAATAACGTTCTATGAAAGGGGATGGGTAACTAGGTTCGAATTTCCCCAGTGTTTGGTAAAATGGCGGAAAAAAATCCATTTTCAGTCAATGTTGCTTTGCAAATTTTGCTGGGAGCAAGAAAAAGTTCACAAGCTCAGATGAAACACCTGTGTATCTCACAAGACTAGCACAGATTTATCTCATGGCACTGTGCATCGGTCTCAATATCTTTTCACCAGTACAAATAATCTTTATGCATATAAATGTTGTTACTGGTGAAAGAAGGGGAGAAGGAGGAAACCTAAGCAGCTTCCAAATAAGTATGATCAAAATGATCAATTTTAAAGTTCCATAAATAGTCTGAATTTGAATT